TAAAAAGTGATATCGATTAGAAAGTGACGACGAAAGTAATTTTAGAAGAAGCGTAACAAGACAAAAAGCTTAGCATACTAAATAAATTTAGATAGTAATGCAAATATTTCAACCGAAAAAGACAAATTGTAGTGGTTTTGTCTTATAGCTAAATATCAACTTTTTCGTATTTTCCTATTTAATATCTGCTTATATATTAAAGTAGACTATACTAGTAGAAATGAGTGTTATGGAGCATCTCCATCACTTCGCCCCCTTCATAATGTAGTAAGAGGTGCAGTGTTTGAGCACAAAGTCAAGTTGATAGGCTTTTCAAATAAGTTCTTAGTAGTCATCAGCACTACTTCAGCCAGCTCATGAAATATTTTATGTAAATATTTGTTACGTATAGTCTTGATGTCGTCCTTCGATTTGCGATGTAGCACCGTATATAATGTTGCCACATTTTCTGCAAAATCTACTAACTTATGACCGGAATAGTATTCCAAAGTAGTATTCCACGCTTGTTCTTCGCCAACCATACGTAAAGCAATGAATAAACCGGCTGCAGCCATTTTGGGATGCCTACTTCCCCGCACGCAGCATAGCCTTGCAAGGAGCAATAAGAGAGTGGTATGCCGAGATTACAGCCAATGGTCTGCAAAGTACACTTTTCCATGTGTATGAGCTCTTCGTGCTTGTATGCACCATTGCAATAGAAGTACTTAACTGAAGGAAATGTACCCTCAATAAATTTGCTTGCTATAAGTAGAGCAGACACTCCCAGTAATTGCAACTTATCCTTTTTGATAACAGCTTTGCATAAGAAAAAATCTACTACCTTCATTGACAGATATAAAGTTTCTTGACTAAGTTCGAATGTTTCCTGGATTTCTACCATCGAATCCACAAGCAAAGCGTGCATTGATTTAGACAAATGCACTTGACGTTTCATGTAATCGTCTATCGAAAATTCAGCCTCGCGACTTTTTAAGTAATTAAGGATATCTACGACGTACACTTGCAATGAAATGTTCCAATTTGCTTTATCCAAATCCTCCAAACCGATAGGCAGTGCCTTTGGCTGCGTTTCAGATTTCTCTACAGCCAACGACGGCTCGGCGTTTCCAGACATACGCAGATGTATGTAAACTTTTACTGGTTTCGTTGAATTAATTGTATATGCGGTACACTAACTTCTTGTAAGCAACTTTCTGAGGGACTTGTGTACACTGAGCTACGCTTGCAGGTACTTTAATTTCCAGCAACACCGCTGCCATGATTAGACGTAAGATTTTGGGTGTAGTCTCATATACCGACTCCTTAGCTTCGATTTGTATCTCTTATGCACTACCACCAGCAAAGCGTTTAGAAGGTAAGAGC